TGTGTTATATATTTTGGTAGTTTGTGACTGAATCATTGCTAGATTGAGAGAAAACGTGTGTACAGTGATATGTAATTCTGGCAAAACCACATGGTCATCTTAATGCATAATTCTAGAAGCTGGTGAGTCAGTAACTAAGCATATTGATAACATTATGGATAACAACAGCGCGTTCATGAACAAAGAATTGTTATTCGGAAAGTCGTACGCCTCGTATATTTTAATACCAGCCCTAAAACGATGTCATTCATGACACAAAATACAATTTAGATGTTAAAATTACCATGTCTATGTTATTGACCATTTCTATCATCACTTCTCCTGCCCTCACATGAATTTTGTTGTTTTTCACTGCGAGTAACACTCGAATAATTTATTACACTATTAATAAGGGCTTTTTTGGGCAGGGGGAGGTTACTGGCAAGAGCCTTGTTTATCAGGACAATATTTGAATGTCCTGATAAACGAGGTTGGAATGTATAAAGACTTGTATGTCTCTGCCATTCCGTTACAGGGACAATGTGTTAATTGTTTTATATTTTCTTAGAAATTATCTCTTCAACTATTAATTATTACCTTAGAGTCTTGTGCAAGTCTAGATTAAATAAATCATGAGATGGAGAAAAACAAAGATGCCACAGCCTTTGCCTATATGTTGTTTTAGTTCTTATGAATTAAATTTCTCTTCCCCGGGTTTTCGTGCCGCATTTACTGTGTACCCTTGAATTGATCTTCAGTAACCCATTCTTGTCGTAAGAGGCGACTATTGGGATCGGGTGGTCAGGCTCGCTGACTTGGTTGACACGTCATCGGTTCCCAATTGCGTAGATCGATGCTCATGCTGTTGATCACTGGATTGTCTGGTCCAGACTCGATTATTTACAGACCGCCGCCATATAGCTGGAATATTGTTGAGTTCGCCGTAAAACAACAAACCAAACCAACCAAGGCTTATACTGTGTTAAGCAATTACATGTACCACATTTTCTAACACCCTATCTCATCCTTCATCACTGGATGGTAATCGAATGCAGCCAACTGTCGATGTAACAGCATGTCATGCATTTATTACCAATGCTGAGAAACTGATAGTAAAGAAATGTCATTCAATACCGGAAATGGCAAATCGGTGTAGCAGTTCTTCAGTGTCGGTGTACATGCAATATGAATGTGATTATTTTATTCCATGATGACGGCATAGTGGTATCCCTCTGTTGGGTAGCAGTGAATGGGTACCCGGTGGAGGAGATAGCATTGCGGGGAACACGTTTGTATACTCCCTAGGGAGTTGAGAATGTATGCACACAGATCCACTGACATGGGTAACAACGGTGTACTTTGAACATGATATCTAGCATTGGGAAATAACCGCAGTATAAGTGGATGGTGATGATGATGATGGTGGTGGTGATGATGATGACGATGATGATGATGAGTCTTTTTGTCAGCATTACTATTATTATACAGAATATTAGTCAGGAAGGCTGCAAAAAGCGAATTCCGAATTTGCGCCGACCTCTTTAACGGCCTAGTGCTCCACCATCTCATCACACAAAGCATTCAGGAACCATTGACAGCGTAACGCGCGTCCAACCCCAAGAGAGACAAAAGCTTGTGATACCGGGTCCAAGGGCCGACCTCCCTAGCCGGGTCCCCCCTGAAGACAACGCATAGTTGCAAATTCCCTTCTAAGAAAAGTCACTCAAAACTACGTATTCATACCTATTTATGTTATTTGTCTTTATCTTCTTCAAATGATCCCATGTTGGCGTGAGATTTATCGGTTTTGTCGTGAGAGCGTGAACTGAGTAATATATGCGTGAGTCTCAAGCCAAATGCGTGAGGGTTTGCAGGTATGCATTGATCGCCTTCTCCCCATCAGGTATGATCATATCATTTCCATTTGGCAATACAATATTGATCATGAGATATAATTTGATGATTCCCACTTTCCATGTTTTATTGCCATGGTATATATAGCTTAAAACATTATTTATGACAGATCTGGGGTCGAACTTGCTTCGCCGTACTGTTCAACATGTACTCACAAACGATCATCTCTTCCAGTTAGAGTTGTTTCCCTTTGTAAAACAAAAATGGTTGCCAGTATTTCTGATTATAAGGTCACAACCCTTAGCTACTTGAATATATTACAATTATACTGATAAATTTAGAGGTTTAATTTAGAGGTTAGTGAAATAACGGCTCTGTGGGCGAGTCAAGGTGAGCTAGCAGGTTTGTTGATTTTCGAGTCGAAGGGATCTGTTCCTCAAAACGATCGATACGCCATGAGTAGATTTCGCAAATCTCTGTCTCAGTCGTAACACCAAAACCCCTTTAAGCAACATGGCTGAATGAAATATGAGACAAAACTGAAGCATCGGTTATGTAACGGTTTACAAAATTATCAGAGGACTGTTTTAAGTCGGTTTAAAGAACAGAAGTCGCCATTGTCTTTGTGGAACAGATACCAGGCAGTTTACCGTGATGCAGAGCCCCTATAGAATATCTGCAAATATCCGGCGATAATGAAGATTAATGACATCCCAATATGTAGCGATATGTGGTAATTGGGACATTTAATGCTATTTTCTATTTTTCATTATTAATATTTGTAATATGGTTCAAATTTCACTGCCAACTGTTTGCTCATTAATCTTTACTAACATAGCATAAAATATATAAGCTCAGGGGTGGAAATAACCCATTGCCCGACGCCCGAGTCCAGTGGGTTTTTTTGTCGGGCAAGCAAATTTGTATATCACACTGTATCGGTGTCCAGTTGACTTTCCAATGTTAATTATGTTGTTTATTTAAAAAATCAACAAGAAAATGGCCGGTATAGTGGAAAAATTATCAGGGCAAGTGATTTTACATGTGCCACTGTACCGGAGTACACCAGCAATTTTAAAGTTATTAAATATGTATATTTACTAGCCTAATATGTGATGAAAGCAGTATTGCCACTTATTGTAGAATTGCCTGGTGAAGATCCGCGTTAGAATTGTCTTCAGTAACCTGTGGTTGTCGGAAGTGTTGCCTTACGAGATCGGTTCACTGAACTTTGATGCCTGCCATCGTATCCTAATACTGCGTAGATCGATGTTCATGACGTTAATTATCTTCTAGATTATAGCCTATTTTATACGTAAAAAACGAGATTCTAAAGTTAGAAGTCGATCGCAAATCAAAGAGATTTATCATTGGATGTTAGCATTTATCAGATTCAAATACCGATTTAATTGGACCATGTGAAAGAAAATGAAATGATCCTTCCAACAGTGGCTAAACTGATCGATAATCAAAAATATTATCCATAAGAAAATATTAATGGTCATCAATATGAAAATTGTACAGTCAATAATATCGTACACAAACCTTTGTGAGAGAATAAAGTTCTTAATTTACTCACACAACACACAAAGTTAGAACTTTATTCATGGCCTGCTTCTAAGATATGTTCAGGATGCTGTTTTGTTAGTAATCCATAAATAAACATGTCACCAGCGATGTGAAATATATTCACTTTCAGACTTTTCCCAAAAAATAATTTCTCCCATATTTATCGATAATCGATCGGTATTTAGTTGACGATTATTGAACTCTATTGTCTATAACGATAGTCAGATCGAATATCTTCGAGTTTACCCTTATATATATTACCGTGAAATAATTGATTTTCTAATGCTTCTACACGCGAAATCTTATGTTTGAACAATGGATGCATTGGAAACCCATAGCGACAGAGAAAATATTAGCTTTCTATTCACCAGGTACATGTATATATATATACAATGTAAATACGTTTTCCAATGACAGGGTGAAATCCCCAAATCATGAACACCTGCGACCGAATTTCCAGACCCCGGTTTGGATCAACTTGGACAGGCCGTTGTCTCAGCTATATGTTCTATATTAATTGACTCCGGTCAACGGACTGTTTGTATATGAGTTATCGCACACAGAAGCTTGAATAGCTTTTTTCGACACAGCATTTGTCCATTGATCTCCCACTCAATGCATTGACCTACATCTCCAGGTGGCCACGTGCCTCTCGTTCACACCGGTAGTAGATAGATCACGCTCAAGGGTATTCCCAGTAGTGTGAACGATCACACCGGTCTCTGAGATTGGGAATATGTGATAACAGCCTACATGCAGGTCTGTGTTTTTGAAGTGGTAGGTATGCTTTAATTTGGCAACGTCTCCATGGGCAAATGAAAAAATAGTCGTGCGATTTTTATGGATAGACAACTCCTTTATTGTTCAACTTCTGGGTTATCCGGGGTAATAATGTGATGTGCTTTGATTGTTAGCGCTATGAGCATTAACCTAGTGAATGAGTTTAGCGCATTATAAATGTACTTATTATTTATTATTATTTATTGCAATGGATAGGCTGTTTCGATGTAGATGCTAACACCGATATCGGCATTTCCAGTATAGCATCATGCTCAGGGATTTACCTTGAGTCCTGTACTTGAGGGTCCCTGGGATTCATACTCTTAATTTTCAGGGTTCCTGGACTACAAAATGGGGGTCCCAGACACTTAAATAGTATTATTAATACTATGTTGTAATATTGTTGTGATTCACTTACTGTTATTTTGTATTGTGTATCATGATCATCACATTGTTACAGTAGTTAAATTGCAAATGATACCATAACCCAGCTAATAGCAAACTCAGTGATAACTTATTTTTACAAAAAAATTATAAATACATTTGAACTTTTTCTGCATCCACAGGGACGCGCTAATCAATTTCTTTGCGTCCATTGTCAGTTTTTATGCGTATAGGACGCATGAATTCGCGTCCTGTAAATCCCTGCATGCTTGATACATGTGTTATCATCTTCATGTAACGTCCCATCCATTGCAATAAAGAAGTTGTTATCCATAAAAATCGTTCCTGTTCATACCAGATGGCAGTAATTTGTTGTGCTTTGTGGGTTTATGGGTTTTGTTCCAGTTTGACGTTATATTTTTCTTTCCTTTCAGGTCTGACTGACTGAGAACGCTTGGAAACCTTCAAATTGTGTGGCGACTGCGCAGACTCGAAAAATGGCTCAGAGACAGACGACATCCGGTACGGCGACAATTTCGGCTACAGAGGATCTAGCCACGAAGAAATTCCCTTCGATAATAGACATCAAACGTCAGATTCCAAGCAACTGTTTCGAAGCATCCGTTTCCACATCGTTGTATTATGCCGCGAAAGACCTCGTGCTTGTTTTTGCTCTCTATCTGGCCGCAATGGCCATGTGGTATTTCGCTCCGACGTCTCTGTGTCTGGCTCTGACTCCAGTGTACTGGCTTCTCCAGGGCACGTTGTTTATGGCGATCTTCGTTGTGGGGCACGACTGTGGGCACGGCTCCTTCTCCAACAACGAGCTCCTCAACGACGCAGTCGGAGTGTTCCTCCACAGCTTCGTCATGACGCCCTACTACAGCTGGAAGATATCTCACCGTGTCCATCACAAAAACACTGGAAATATTGACAAGGATGAAATTTTCTTCCCCCTTCGGGACAAGGCTGACAATGGCCGTGCCTTCCTACCAGGATTCGGCCTTGGACTCGGATGGTTCATGTATCTTGTTTTAGGATACAAACACCGTACAACGAAACACTTCAACCCCTTCGACCCCATCTACACTCGTCACATACTGGGTGTGTGTATCTCCCTCGCCTATCTGTTAATGTGGACTATAGGGGTGTATTCCTACGCTCAGGTTATGGGGTTCTGCCATGTGTTATACTATTATGGAGTTCCCGTATTTGTTTTCGCGTCCTTCCTCGTCATCGTCACGTTCCTGCACCACACGGAGGAGCTAGTGCCGTGGTACGTTGACGGCGTCTGGGACAACGTCAGGGGCCAGGTCAGCTCCATTGACCGTGACTACGGCTGGTGCCACGGCATCATCCACAACATCGGAACCCACCAAATTCACCATTTGTTTCCCAAGATTCCGCACTACAATCTAGAGGAAGCCACGCGCTACTACCGGAAGGCGTTCCCGGATCTGGTTCATATACGTAACGACCCCATCCTCCCTTCATTCATGAGGATGTTTCTCAAGTATTGCAAGCAACACATCGTTGATGACCATGCCAAAGTTCACGTTTACAACTAGTCTTTAGCAATTGTTATTCGATTTATCAATTTCAGAAAACTACGGTTATAACGAACTGAAAGGGACAAGTTGTATTTTCATACAACCATACTTTGTTTGATTCCACACATGGGTACAATGTGTGAAGCCCATTTCCGAGTCCCGCCGTGATATTGCTGGAATATTGCTAAAAGCGGCGTAAAACTAAATTCAGTCAGTATGTACGCATACAATATACGCTAGTGGCAGTGACAAAACTAACAATTCGTTATATCTAACAGTTCGATATAAACGTAGTTTACTGTATTGTTATTTAGTAGAGGTTATCTTTGACACCTCACACGTTTATTTCCTTATCATTTACGATTCTTCGAATTTCTTTGTTAAAAGCCACATTAATGTCTCATTAAGATAATGCCATAGTCCAACGTGAAATTTTGATACAGGCTGTCTTTATAATGACTCGGGGCTTTGGAAATGTCGACGGGTCATAGTAAAGGTCGTCACCTCGGTAACTCAGTTTCAATAGCCCCCATGGGAATAATTTGTGAACCCAAGTTTGGAGTCCCCCGACTTGAAAATGCCTAGAATAAGATAACATACGTAAAAAATTACTCTCTTAAATCTTGGTGTTCAAATTCTTGAGCAAAACATTTAAGGAGACTGCTATTTTGCGTTTTGAATATTGAAACATGTCGAAACATCTTTAATCAAATCCACCGCACCCAGCGATAGCCAAATATATAAATTCAGACCTTCTAGTCATTCCAACGTATATTTAATAATATTTATTTTTCATCAAATATTTAAATTATGTGTCCATTTTTCTCTGTTGTTTTTGTCGTGTTTTGACAGCTATGTTATAGATTATTTACCTGTGTATGTCCCTAAAGTGATTTTGCAATAATGTATTTTGTTCTGAGTACATTATGACAATAGTATAGCTGTTACAACCGAAACTCATAGCCTAATGTACACACGGTGTTAAAGACAAAACTCTTTACTCAACCCAATTTTTACTGGACCTAAAATTGACTTTTTTGGGAAAATGTCGATTGGGAGATCGGTGTCTTCTTTCGTAGTTGAGACTGCTATCTAATTCAGATTTGTTTTTTAATTACAAAATGACCTGAAAAAGTAGGTCATTATAAGAAAGAAAGGAAATATGTTCCTGATGTTCTATTTACTTCCAGTTCTATTTGAATCAGTAGAACAAACATGTTTAATTTATTTCCAATTCTCTTTAAATTATTGGGATAAAAACGTTTTATTGTAAATGTTATTTCATCTTATCCATCGACCCAAAGGATTCGGCAATATAAATGAAGGCCTATTTATACAAAACATGAGCCCATATCGATCATGTAGCCATTGTGTAAACAAGACATAGTCCAGTGCTCCAGATAATGTTTGTAGCTTATGGATTGTACTCCCACCGGGACCTGATGGTTATATTTGGGTATTCAATATATTATTCCTCCCACGGGTCCAGTCTATTTCTGATGACTATTAGTTTGCGTATGTTCGTGCGTTACGTCAAGCCCGATAGACCCACTACGCTATAGGGTTAGGTGGCCCGTTGGTTAAGGGGTCCGCCAGTCAGGCAGAAGGCCCGGGTTCGATCTCAATGGGCACGGTATGTGAAGCCCATTCCTGGTGTTCCCCGGTATATTGGTAGAATATCTCTAAAGGCGGCGTTACACCCAACCCATCCACCCACTCACTCACTCACAATACTGTAAAATATACGTAGAACGCAACGAGGTGCAATACATTGCAGCCTTGCTCCAAGGCTGCACTGAATGCTAAGCCCATGGATGTATAATAATTTTGTCTCCTAAAGTGGCATGTCTAGACAAGCGGAGAGCACCTCTGAGGACCCCAGGCTGGTATTCATATTTAAAAAAAATATAGATCATTTAAACTATTAATTATTACCATGGAGACTTGTGCAAATCTAGGTTAACATACCCATGGATTAGCATATCTTAGTGTAGTCGCTCTGTTATCATTATTAAATACTCGCAAGAAATCATTTTCGGAAGCTTAAAACACTTCATATTGTAATTAGCACATTGTTAGACGGTTGGTCGTTTGTAATCTTTTCATGCATTTTTACGTCAGCAGGTAATTAGTGGGTAAAGGATAATTCCTTTAGGTAGTTTGGGCGTATATACAGATTATTCGGAACTATGATCATGCCTTCTGTGTACATTTGCTCAGCTGAGCACGGTCACTGACAACAATGAGGCGGGAGACGAGTAAATCATGTTTGAACTATCCCATTCAAAAGCTGGCATGCATTTTAGCCTCGAGAGAGATCGCCTTTAACACCGTGTCATATCGGCCTGTTATCTAAGAGATAAGATATTAGATATTCTTGACGTTATTTGTTTCCAACTCCTTTTCTAGGAATAGATTAAAGAAAATATTAAAAAACACATTTTTAAAGTCTAACAAAAATATCTTCAGAAGATTACCTGACAGAATCAGTTAGGTAACGATATTGTGGATTTTGAAATTTCCCCCAAGGGAAACAATTGTTTCAAAAAGTCTAATCAAATACGTCTTGGCATAGAAAGTGTAAAAGAAAATCATGTAAGCTATACAAGTTCCACGATCGTAAGTTTAAAGTCTTACCCAGTCAGACCAACAACGAAAAACAGTGTGGTATTTTTTGTCTTCAAAATAATTTTCAGGAATCGTTTTCCATGAATAACAACCAAAGTTACCTATAGGCAGTTTTAGCCCAAATGCACGATGTTTGTATACTGCTCAATACAAGTTTTATCCCGCTCCAAAATAAAAAAAAATATTTAAAAAAATTAGATTGTGTTACGATGTTTTAGAGTGATACCAAACTTAACATCGACTACAAAAGCAGATTTCACAGAATCTTGTTTTTTTCTTCCAAAATAACTCTTGTCACGATGAGAATCCTGTGAGTATATTTAGGTGATATGCGGCTTTTGAATTTCGTATCCTTTCAATAAATGTCCAGGGTACTTGTGGAATACCTGTTTTACTAGTCAGTGGAGTTTGTAGCTAGTCCTACTAGAACGAGACCAATATGTTTCATGTGTGTAGAATCTGTCAGTTTTATTCAGTTTCAGTTTGTTGTAAAACTGAAGCATTGCGAACTTGTTCAAAATTATGTCAAAATGACTTCTGACATAAAACTGACTTGTCCCCGGCACAAATTATTAGTCTCGGGCTGTCAGACAAGCGGATTACGAAGGCTAACTGTGTGAGTACTACGACCTGGGCCCAGATTTTCGAAGCTCTCTTAGCGCTAAGATAGTCGTAAGTGCCATACATTAACAGTAACTTACGACTTTCTTAGCGCTAAGAGAGCTTCGAAAATCTAGGCCCTGGTTCACAATTACAGACCTCAAATGATTCTACTAAACGATAACTACTGACGTAAATTTGACTTGTCCCTTGCACTTATTATTAGTCTCGGGCTGGCGGACAAGCGGATTACGAAGATTCTGTGTGAGTACAAGAGTTTGGTCGATCATGACGACATCCAGGTGATATTCACCTGAGCGCTCGTGCCCATGAATCGATAGCTACCTCTGTACCAGCGTGTGGGATGTTGGTTACCGCGTGCCGGCTTTGTGATGTGGCTAGCGGAGTGTGTGTTCAGTAAGATGTACTCCCAAAGTCATTAATGGATATCATCAATCTCTAAAGTAGGTCAATGCTTTCTACGGCTGATGTAGAGTAAACTGGTTGCTTATATTATCGACGCGTGCGCTTTACTATTCGGTCAGGTATTGGCGGTTGCCTTTGTACAGAAAGCTGATTGATGTACAGATGTATCGAGTTCAGTTTCAGAGAATATATACAATGTCTGCTATCAAAACATCCTGCCTTAAATATATTCCATCTGATTTGATCCAGGACAGTCATAGTGGAAAGACTACAAAGAACTAAACCAAATTGAAGAATAACAAACGCGGAATGCTTGTCCACAAATAAAAATCGTAGTTCTTCAATGTGAAAAAATGGAACTTTATAAGCTCCGACTTGCTGTCGCCTTCACATCGATAAGTCCGATTGTTTTGGAAAACAATAGTAAACGTCATTATGTGTGACTTCATAGGCACGGTAGGCATGTCTGAAAAATATGGCCTTGGGTTAGAATCTTAAATTCTCCAAGATTGTGTTTTTCTAGGTTTGTCAGCATGATGCTCGTCCCGGGGCGTTAAAATTGGCCCCCAAATCTTTTTCCCAAACGGTTTTCTTTACTTATAAGGGTCTCGATCCACGAAACGTTGATAGCGCTACGATATTCTCAAGCCTATGATAAACTACAGAGTTACGACTGTTTGCAAATCTAAGATTCCTTTGTGTATCGGGACCCTGGCAAGCTATCCTCGAAACGGCCGTAGCCCTACGAACTTCTTAAGCCCATCCTTAACGCATTGGCTACGATCAAAGTTAAGAATTCTTAGGGCTACGAACGTTTCGAGAATAAGGGCTCAGCATCGGAATCTCTGTACTTCTATATAGCAGTCGTAATTCCAAATTATCTGCCTGGGTCTTCAATCGATCACTTGATCTTCTGGTTTGTTTCCAGGTCGGCGTTGCGTGACAATAGTACTGTGCGGTGTCAGGCTAAAACTAACTCCACTTTTAGGCAGTTTTTTTCGAATGGAGGGTGCTGAAAGTGTGTTTTGGATAGATAAGACGATAATCCTATAGATAGGACGTGTTATATTTAGCCAGACTTGTATAGGTCGATAACATGCGTCAGTTCGGGCTATTCTCCCACATGAAGCTGAAACGACGTGATCGAACTGAAATACTCACTCACTCACTCACTCATTCTCGCTCGCTCACTCTCACTCACTCAATGATGTCTAGATTGATAATATTCCTATGAATGGCCACAGGGCTGTGAATGAATGTCTATATAGAGATCATGGTCACACAATTGATTTGCGACGGGAGACGCGTATATCCCGCAGTGATATAGATTAGCCTGACCCAGTTCAAATATCATGTAAAGACGGAGCCCAGTTTGTGAATGTATGGTATAGTGTATGTAGTTGTAATGATATATTCATTTTCTGTTATAGTTTAAAACAGTTCAGAACGCAGATGTCCAAAATTATTCTTCCTCTTCAGAGGGGAACACAATACTTTCCACCAAGGAGTAGCTCTGTTTTCATTTGCATTTTGTTCTATCTTGTATCACTGATTTTATGTCGCTAGGTCACTAAAGCAATGGCTGCTATCCACCAAAACAGTTACGATGAACGCGTGTATAATATTCAGGGGAGGTAACTCGCATTGTTTTACCACAACACGTTCCTCCGTTTTACGACAATCGTTCATGTTTCAATAACATATCACAGTTGGGTATTCCATCACTAGTTAATTAGCAGTTATATAAATCGTTCATATGTATTGCTCAGGTGTACGAAGTGTCGTTAAGAGGTTTTGACGATTCCAGCGTGATTTTCACAATCCAAACTAGTCTGTCTCCATGACAACGAACTCTCAGACGGCGTGTGAAAGCTAGTTATTTTGAATGCTCTGTTGGCTTTATTTAAATTACTATGCAACGCCGTTACCATAGTAACCTCATGATCCTCATGACAACCCAGGAAGTGCCCAGCTAACAACAGGGATGTTGTCATTGGGGACGCTTGATGTTCTGAGAGATTTCATTTTAAATTCATGTCTAGTTGTCCGCAATGAGTAGCCTATCGGAATAGTAACAGTATCTGACCTAATGTGTAACAAGGGAAGATAACCAATCTTTTTGATCGCCGACTGCTTCCTGTGCCATTTTCACCGTTCTTGTTTATCATTGATTTAAGATTTTAAGAAATAAACTTGCAATTTTGCAGACAATGTTGCGTTTTCGTGTGTTGAATTTTGACTCGGAGACTCTCAAAGTCATGTTATTAAATGTAGCAGCAGTTGTAGTCGTAGCTGCCGTTGCGGATGTAGTAGTAATGTTTTTTGTCACGTCAGCAGTATATATTTACGTTTATCATGGCGTCCTTTGGACCAGACAAACGAGTGGTTGATATTGTGAGCAATGCCTGCCTGGGTTCGATATGGGGTTCGTTGCTCGATTACCGATTGTCGGTCTCGGTTATAACCTTGTAGATGTATGCAGTCTTTGAATGACCTGGATCCTGCTGCATCAATGTTCGTTAACTACTCGGAACAGTAAACCCTTTGGATGTAATTCATCTCATGTAGATCTGTCGGATGCTCGGCTTTCCAAAACGATAGCGTGCTCAAAACTTCCTTATTGCTCATGGATTCGAGTTCATTGTCTGAAAACACGGTCCTTCCTTTTGCGACCTAAGCCTACAAATAATATGTTGGCAGCCATGTACGTTTTAATAACACTCTAATGATACCCTATTAAAGCATCATTTCGACCGAATCCAGCGTCCGCCCGGAGAGCGGAAGATCGCGGGTTCGATCCCCGGCCGCATCATACCAAAAGACGTTAAAATATGGTACTTGTTGGTCCCTGCCTGGCGCTCGGCATTAATGGGTACAACAAGGACTGGTCGGCTCGGAGTCAGTATAATGTGTCTGAGTGGGGTATTCATGCTTCACTGCGGCATGGTATCTCAGTGGGCTAGCACTATAAAATCAGCTTAAGTCTGGGCTAGTACAAGCAGCCGCACATACACATACACACGCATGCACGTCGTCATATGAGCGAAATATTCTCAAGCACGACGTTAAACCCAATTTCACCTCACCGCATCTCAAAGCATCATTAGTGAGTGAGAGTGAGTGAGTGAGTTTGTTTGGGTTGATGAGTGAGTGAATGTTTGTTGTTTTACGCCGCACTCAGCAATATTCCAGCTATATGGAGGCGGTCTGTAAATAATCGAATCTGGACCAGACAATCCAGTGATCAACAGCATGAGCATCGATCTACGCGATTGGGACACGATGACAACCAAGTCAGCGAGCCTGACCACCCGATCCCTTTAGTCGCCTCTTACGACAAGCATGGGTTACTGAAGATCAATTCTAACCTTAACTAGTCCAAAGCATCATTAAAGCATCATTTCAGTTTGATAAACCGGATCCTGGGCCCCGTTTCACAAAGCTCTCGTAAGCCTAAGATCTCGTAACTTTCCTCGTAGCATTCGTACCTCCTATACTGTAACATAGGAGGTACGACGCTACGAGAAAAGTTACGAGAACTTAGGCTTACGAGAGCTTCGTGAAACGGGGCCCAGGGTCCCGATCCACAAAGCGTTCGTAGCGCTACGACATTCGTAAGCCTATGATGAACTATAGAGTTACGACAGGTCGTAACGTTACGAACGCTTTGTGGATCGGGCCCCTGGTCTTAAGATATCCTCCCAGAGCACACAGCTCATACTCAAGGATACTAGCTGAGCTGACACTTTACATTGGTAAAATGAGTCAATTCCATCCCTTGCATTATTCCACCCAAGCGGTACTATTTCTGGAATATTGTCAAAAGTGACGTATAATCGCACCCACTACACAACCGACCATCATCACAGCGATGAGTTGCAGGGTTATGCTGTTCCCTGATATTTGTTGCTTTGCCAATCAGCAAACCATTGCGTTCTGGAAATAAACGAGTCTGGTCCAGATAATCT